CCGACGTCTGATTTCTTTTTAATTATAGGAAATGCGTTTTTCTAAGGTACATAAACTTTTGGGATTGACTGTATAGCCAATACATTCTTAACAGTGCAGTGTTTGGATAAAAATGAAATTAAAGTGAAAGGGTTTGGAATATGTGACGTGTTAAAAATGATGATTCAGGTGTTTATAAATTCTTATCTTGTAACGCTAAGCTAATAGTTTCGGATTCACCCTTAGAAACTAGGACGTATCGGTTAACCAATTTTAAACTAGATAGGCGAATGTTTGAGTATTATGAAACGGTCGAAACTCGGTTCTCCGTAACTTATCTCAGAATTGGCAATAAAACGTTTACCTACCCGGAAACGCAATAACGAAATAAAAACATCGAGTCACGCAGACGTCTGAAACGCGATTTTACTTTTGAGAAGCAACGCACGCTTGAGTCAGACAAACTGACAAAAAAATTAGAAGGGAAAGGGGAAGAGAAGCCGGTATCACGGGCCACGCGAGGAAAAGGAAAAGCAACGAAGGTGTACGTATCGCAAGAATTTATCTAGGAAACGCGCTGCGCTGGCTGGCTACAGAGAATGCCAACAAAGTCCAAGGAACGCTTAGGCCTGAACGATTGGGTACGCGATTAAAACAGAGCCCAACGCTTTTCCGTCTCTCTCTTTTCTCTGTTTACCGTACCATCACGCACCTATCGCAAACACCGCTTTCCCAAGTGGAGGAGAGAGCAGGCACATTTTTTTCCCCCGCGTCTGGTCAAACGACAACCAGCACCCGATAAAAATACACCCGGAGATCCGCCGAAACCGATAAATTCCCATGTAACCGCGATTCGGAAACGATTACAGTTATATTCCCAAAACTGGCCGACGATCCTCCGAACTCCGAGGATCACGCCGGAATACAAATCATTCAGGGATATGTATTTGTCTGCAAGGAATATTGATGCTCTCTAGCTACACTAAATTATGCTGCTTTGTTTGACACACGAATTTAATAGTATCTACGTGTTTTCGCGTGGCCGCGGCTGCGTTTGCCAGCCTGTCGTTATCTATAGATGCTGAACTATTCTTCCTACACTCAATGTAAACATATCAGTTCAATCGTTCTAATCTACAATAATAGAAGAACGATAACAGTTCGAGGAGGGTCGTCAACCTTTTTGACAAGCACAAATTGAACGAATATCGACAAGAGGAATTCAGAACTCACATCTCCTCAGAAAACGCCGCGTCCTCGCCGCAACAGCGTCTGACCCGTGGCCTCATGGTAACAGCCAGGTTTTCGACCATTCGTTTTTGCACGCAGGCAAGAAGAGCGTTCGAATCGGCACAGTACTCGCCAGGCTCGAACTTATCCTCGGTATCGATCTCGATGATCGCGCTCCCGTCATCGAGAAGCACGAACGGGTTGACTGTACGGTACGGTACGTATCTCAACTGCGTATTCTCTCCGCAATCGGGTTTCCTCCCTTGGATGATGTTCCATTCAGCCGGTGGATGCTCCAAAATTGTTCTTAGAGACGGCGAGTAGATAACAGGCTTCCAGTCGTTGCCAGTGGGCTCGCAACGCGTTTCCGCGTCCACATCGTTGTCGGAATCCTTCACGAGATGCTCCTTGTCTCGGCAACACTTTAGAATAGTCAATCGTGGCCTCGTGGACTCGTTGGCAGGCTCAGAGAATGCGAGCACCGCCAGCGTACAAAGGATCGCAGCCAGGTACACGATCTTCATTATCTCGGGGCAAATTACGCGTCGCGGTTAAAACGAAATAACGAACATCACACGCTGAAGTTCGATGTTAGATCGTTTCAAAGTCACCGAGAGTCTGGTAATAATAAACGTACACTCACTGTTAATCACGTATACACACGAACCTCGAATCGCAGTCCACGCGACTGTTTGTAAACACCGTTTAAAATTCACGTTCTACGTTCTAATAAAATGTAAAAAGGTTTGTCTCGTAATTTACGCGAAATGCTACTCGACTGATGATTAAAGAAACGAACGAGATACTCGCGAGGGGTTAAGCGATTTTGGCGCGTTCGCACGAAGATTCTAGCTAGAGATCGGACGAAAGTCTCTCGCTCGAAGGCTTCGGAGGTACTGAACCACGAGGCTCGAGCCACCGGCGGCAGCGTGGCTGGCGAATGCGCGCGCACCCGCTTGACTCCCGCCCTTATTCAACTACATCTAGCCCTCTTCTTTCTTCGCATCGGGACGCCTGGCGCCGCGACGCTTACTTCTCCGTGGCCACGTGCTCGCTCCCACTACTTCCCCAGTCGGAAGTGCAACGGTACCTTGCGTGAATCTCTCTTGTTTCTTCCTTTTCCGTGGGAGACCAGCTCGCCATCCGTTCTTTGTTTGTTTCTATTTTTATTTCGAAAGGTATAGAAATTTAGCTCACCGACAATTCATTGAAATTATATTATTTGTAGATTGAGTATAATATTTACTTTTTTTTAAAGATTTCCGCGAATTTGTAAAAACTTGGTTTGATAATTCCACTCAGAAATTGCATTTCCATATCTTCTAAGATTTCTTTTTAACCTTAAATAAAAAGAAAAAATACATTTATTTATAAAATAGAAAATTTTTACCAGGAGTATATAAGGCGTAGCACTAATTCTTGTAAGTTTATAAAAACGACAAGGATCCCAGAATTGCATAGAGCAACATGCGAAAATGAATCGCGAAGATCTGTAGGTTTCTGCGAAGATACAATGGTCAGCCGGAATCGGTGAGAAAATATACAACACTGCCCTTGCGTTCATTATTATTGAAAGAAGAAATAGCTAAGTGAGGAACATGGAAAAACCCCCTAGTACTCTGCCTATTTTCGACTTCCTGGCCATGGCACCGATGCGACGCGACGGTAGGCGATCGCGTGCACAACTCGGCGACGTTAATGACCGAGGGAATCAAGGTAACAGTACGCAAGATCAAGTCCATAAACCATCCTCCCTACGATCGCCTACGGAACATTTTCCACGTATAGCGCGCTGCTCCTCGTCGGCTCGGATAATTTATAGTGGCTTTAAGTTCAACAGAGATTAACACTGTGTACCGTTCGATCCCGAACCAGATATTCTAAGAACCGTGTTTCTATTTTCAAGTACTCGCGAAATTATTAGCAATACTGTGATTCAATTGTCTTTCACTACTTACTTTCTTGTATGTAGAAGAATCTACAAACATTTAAATCATATAATCACATAATTAAATCATATAAGATCAATTAAAAAGAAACCTCCCTATATTAAGCTATTTCCCCTACTTCACAATATTTTTACTGATTAAAATACAGCGTTCTTTGATAATTGTGAAATTGTAGTAAATCTTGATAATGCAGTAGAAGGTGAAGGCGAAGGGTAGATCTTAACATTGAAAGCGTAAAATCGTGAAAGATTTTCATGGAATTCTGTCAGGTACATAAACTGGTTATTGATGGCTATGGCTAGCGCTGTTCTTCTTAGAGTTCCTCGAGCGTTCAGTATAACGCGGTCGAAAATTGATTCGGGCAACCCGTAGTGGAAGCCTTTCGGAGTAAAAACCGTTCGGACGGGCTCCTTTTTACCCTGCTGGCGTCGAAGGAGCGAACAAGACGCTGTTCCGGGCCGACAAGCGGAAACGCTTTAAAAGTTTCGGACGGCGCCCAATTAAACTTCTTCGCCATTTCCGCGCGGCGAAAATTGGGAATTTATGTCCGCGTTGGGGACCGCGTTCGTGAAATTTTGTCAATTAAAGTGTCCTTAGCATTACGTAGCGGCGGTGAAGGGAAACGGTGGGAGCAAAGTGAAAGAGGGGAAAAAAAGTTCTCAGTGAATTGTTTGTCCCAACACCGATTCGCTGCCGTTTTTTTCCCCACCTTAATGCGTAGCTTATAGCGAAATTAGGGGTGGAGATGTATGCCGCAATTACGGCGGCTGTCCCCCGGCGCGACGCGACGGCTGAAATATCACGACCAGCCGAGCGCCGCCGTCGCCGTTTGCAATTTTATCGAGCCTTTCCGATAAAATCGTTTTTCAAATTTCGCACGAGGCCACGCGCGCTCACTGCACGCGCTCCCGGTTAATAGGAAGCTTTGGAATCCGAAGCAGCGCCGGCACGCGTAAATCACGAGGAAACAGAGAACGGTCTCCACCGCCACACACTGCCAGCCATGTATCGCGTTGTACCGGTGCGTCGCGATGCAACTCGTGCACGCACGTTAATAGGGTTCCGTGCACTGCCCTCTGAACGTAATACAGATTTTATCTGACCCCTCTGGGTTGAATGGTGGCGTCTCTGGCTCGTAGAAGGGCACAGGCCAGACGGTTTGATCCGAGCGGTCGGACAATTTCGAAATCCGGCGGAATCATTGCCCGATCGACCGTTACTCATTAAGGGAATCGAGGCTGTGATCGTATCTCGAAAATAATGCTCCCGGCCGCGGCATCGATAATGCGTCTCACCCCCTCGCCCCTTATCTATGAATTTATGAATTGCAAAACCGATCGACCGTCCGCCCCCTACGGTTTTGTTTTACTAATTGAACGGTGAAATAATGAAAAGCACCAGGGAAGATGCACCGCGGCGCCAATATTTAGGAGTCTCCTGGCGAGACCCCAGTTCGTGTGATGATTATGGTCCACGCGACGCCGCGCTGCCGCGCCGTGCGGTTTCGATTAATGCACGAAATATATTTATCAACGGTCCTTAAATGATGCACACTGATTTCGGTTCCATTTAATTCAGACCCGCGGCGGAAACTGTACAAAATAACTTGTCACTGCACGTATTTGAAAAGCTGAATCAGCGAAACGAAGCGAAGCTGAATCAAAAGCTACATTTCACTCATTTATTTAATTCATGTATGTATTCATACAGGTTGGTATCCTTTATATGTATACTATTTAATTTTTCACATTTCCCAATGGGACAAATGGATTAATTAATACTTTACATTTTAAAATTAGAGAGACGTCCAGATGCATCGCAAAGATATTTAATTCACAATGAGAAATGCGAATCGCATCCTGAAAAGGGGAAGACTTCGCAGTAAAGTTAGTCATGCGGCAGAGGCGATGATAACGCGTCGTTCGATTACGTCACGTAGACCGTAAAAGTGTCTTCCTCGCGCGAAGCAAAGGTTACACCTGCACTCTCGCGAGCTTAATCTCCAGCCTCATAAATAGGGGAACCCATGGGAGCGACGTCGTCGATCATAGCGATCCCGAAACAGGGGCCAACCGGGGAAAATTAACACGCTTCTTGTCGAAGAAATGGCTCGCTGTACCGAGATAATGATCCGCCAGTCTTCGAAAGCTTGCACGAAACTCCTCAGCCCTGTCCATTTATCCACGTTCGTTGCGTCTACTTAATTATCTCAGATACATGCTCTCCTTCTATCTCCGTCATCAATTAATCAATGATAAATGAATCTAAGCAGCTGGCGTCTGTACAATAACTTATTCATTACTATAGTTGTTTCAATACATATTTTCCTATTATTATACAATATTCAAAAAACGCTTTATTGAAGCTAATGGAATATAGCTAGTGTCAATATAATTCCGGTTTGTGAACTGTGTAAAATTGGATAAAGCGTAGGAAAAGGTGGTGTAAGATAGGGCAACATTGTTTCCCAAAAACTTTAAATACTACTGTATACATATAATGAGAATATAAAAGTCAGTATGAATGGATGCCAGTTCGAAAATGTCAATGTTACAGGCCACACGTGTCGTAATTTACAATGTAATATTGAAAGTCTCCAACATTGTAACTTGAATATAATGTACTAAATAAAATGCAAATATACTAATAAAGATTATTTCAAAAATCTATTCCACTTTAATTTTTCATTCCGTCTTACCCCAGCTTTTAATTTTATGATACACGCTTGTATCAATAAGAAAGCATGTTTTTCATGAATATTGAAGATGTTATCTTACTAATACCGTGAAAGGCGGCCGATTAATTTTCTTGCTCGGCGATCGCACGATACTTAATGTAATAAAATCGGTCCCGTAGGTCCACGCAGCATCAGAGAGTAGAGCCGACGGAAGTTTTTCCAACGGACGCGATTATTACGCGAAAGAGGGAGGGTTCACGGCTGATCGAGGATGATTAAAATAAGCTTCGTTAATTAAAGATCCTGACGAGGCTAGCGGCCGCCCTTCGCGATTACTGCAAATTCGCTTAATTCGTCTCTGATGATCCTGTTAGCTGGAGATTTTCATTACTCCGGTCCGAGCTCCCCGGCGGAAGTGGGAATTATACGCGGACGCAATTAAACGGTGAAATACGTAGCGCATTCGAAAGTGGGCAACTACGATTAACGAGCGTCTACTCTTCTTTAGATCCGAACTTTTACCCGCGAAACAATTCCGACGGAGAATCGGCGCCGATAATAATTACGACCGCACAATTCACCCTGGAGCTCGAAAATATTCGAAGATCCGGTCGCGTACTTACGCGAAGCTCCGCTCGCCGTGAAAACTCAATCGTAATGGCCTATAAACGCCCCCCATAAAGATCATAACGGTACATTAAACCGTGGTATCCGTGGAAACTTCGCGCGCTCTAATCTTTCTCCCTTTCTTCGCTTCGGTCTTGTTTAAATGCGTCTGAACGAAATTTAAGACCCCTCTCGACTACGTATACACATATACACCATTTATAATTCTTAAGACATACTGTAAAACATATAACGAGATCAGAAAAATTTCCTAAAATATAAATATGACCGA